CTCTCTCTCTCTCTCTCTCTCTCTCTCTCTCTCTCTCTCTCTCTCTCTCTCTCTCTCTCTCTCTCTCTCTCTCTCTCTCTCTCTCTCTCTCTCTCCTCTCTCTCTCTCCTCTCGTCCCTTTATTTTTCTCCACGTGTCGATTGTGACGCCCTCCAGAATGACGAGTCTAATTGATCGTTAATCAAAACCATGGGATCAAGAAGGAACTGAGAAGAAAGAAGTAAGTGAAAAATAAGTAGTGAAAAAATAGAGGGGTGAAATACGAGTTGTCATTCTTTAATAACGAGACCAATGAAAACGGGCTTTATAAACGTGTTTTAATTGTTGTTTGAAACAAATGGAAATGGAATTTCGTGTTCTTTAACAGGTGCTCGATACAATTATCAGAAAGAATCTGTTGTTTATTTGGGCGCGATGATCAAACGTAAATAACCGGATTTGTTTTTCTCTTTGGTCGAAAATGAAAAAAACATCATTAAATTTCTCTCGTTAATTTTCTTTCGTTCAACTCGTTTCACCTGATCATTCGCCTTCGATCATCGTTTAATTGTTATTTTATAATTGCGTCTAGTTTTGTTATCACAATAATATAAAAATATTATAGAATATGAAGGATTTTTAGTTTATTTGTGGAATGTTAGATTTTAAATATATATATTGATGTTTGAAATTTAGTTAATATTGCTTGAGCGTGAAAAAGAGAAACGTGAAAAATTGGTAATATTTTTTGTGGAAATTTATTATGCAACGTATTTTTCAGATAATAAAATTTCATTTTCTCGTGGAATTCAATTATCGTTGCAATCATGTTTAATTTCTCGACTTAATGTTTTCGTTGTTTGTCAACTTGTGTTTTTTTTTCTTTATTTAAAAATAATCGTTTTCATTTCAGTTCGTTGAAAACAGAAAGAAAGCATTACCTGTACACACATGGTGTTAAAAAGGAGAGTATGCCGATTCAAATAGACCTTATAATATTAAATTTATAGTTAGTCAATATTTCATGTGCCTATAAAATATTCTCTATAAATATACCTTTAAATTTCTCGATGAACGAATTCTGAAATAAGATTTAGAAATTTCGATTTATTGGCGAGTGGAATAAAATAATTAAACCCGTTCCAGTTGTTAAAATCGTCCTGCACCTTTATGAAAACGCCCATTTCACGGATTCTGATCATTTGCACAGTGCTCCAGGCCTTTTGCGACCTGACTTTTTCACGCGTAAGAAACGCCGCATAATCAGCGTCATTATGCAATGCAGTGACTCAATCTCTGTTAAAAATCACTGTTCTCGCTGCAGATGTTTACAGTCCCGGCGATTTAGAAAGCGAAAGTCGTCACGTTGCCACGAGGAACGAAACGAAAGAGATCCTCGTTCACTGCCATCAAGCAAATCGTGCGCCATCTATTCCTAGTTTCGTGGAATGATAAATTATCAATATGACTATATCAACAAGGATGAATTTGAATTTCTGCCATAAAAAAAATGTTAAAAAAAATTAATATTAAAGAATGGTGATAATTCGTCAATCCTTATTGTCCATAACGATACGAAATTGTTTGTTCAATGTTGTTTATGCTACTCCTTCTGCTAAAATGACTCGATTCCCCTGTGACGAATCAGAAGAGCAGAATATATATACGTCACCTTGTTCTCCACTATATAGGCGTGATGTGTCACGTGGTCGAGTTTCCACCAATGCGGAGCGTTGCATCGTGTCACGTGATACGCAGCTAATGTGACGTCACGATTTGGCGCGTAAATGAAGCTTATAAAACAGGATTATTATTGTTTTTCGAATAATTGCTATTAAATTTTATGGACAATGAAATAATAAATTACTGTTAATGAAATTTGGAAATTATTGAGGGAATGAAATTCTAGTTGTTGTGATAATTTTATAAGCCATTCCTAATTTCTTAATTTATCGATGCCATATGTCTTTTGTTTAAAATTCAAAAAAAAAAAAAGATCGTACATCAATTTGTTCAAATTCCAATCTTCAAATCCACGGATTTGATGGATTCAATCTTGAAAAGAATTTGTTTAATGTCGGTAGAGGCGTTTGAATTTGTAAAAATTTTGAAAAAGAGTATGAAGTTTTCTTGTAAAATTTTGTAAAGAGTATGAACTTTCTCATTTTTTACAATGGAAACTTGATAGATGGCTTATCGAGGAGGAGATATTGAAGAAGCTTGACGCTTTAAAATCAGGCAAGACAAAATGCTCTACGACTTTTTATCACAAAGTTACAAGAGTTGAAAGATCGACAATTTTTTTCCATTACAATTTAGTGTTTCTTTTATTTCGTTGAGTATTGTATTTCCGAATTAATGATAATTTTGAAGAAATTTCAATTTTAAAATTATATTCTCGATGGATTCGATTAAAATTCTAATTTCTAATTTCACTAAAATTATTCAATATTCAATGTTTCAACTTACTTTAGATATCATTCATTGCAACATATATACACATATATCTATCAGCGTTAATTCAAGTTGTTCATTGACAACAACAAGATTGTCAAGTTTTTCGTCGCTTTCAACGCGTACAATCTACGTATATTTTACACTATAGTAAAATCGTAGCAGTAATCCATTTATGGAATTGGAAAGTCGATCGTGCAAATATATATTTATATATCGTATACGTTCGAAAATTATATAGGCGACAAGTCGAATTAAATATACATACATATATATATATATATAAATAAAATATACTGTTATACAATATTATACCGTTGATTCAAAAGTCGTTGAAAAGTGTAACAAAAATTGCAATGATTCTATGAAGTTAAACGTGACAAAAGTTTGGGAATGCGTTACAACGTATGACCCTGTCGTGTCATCATCATCAGCTAAGTATTACCTTTGTCCAAATTTTACTGATTCCAAGCATATAACGTTTCACGTGGCACCACGAATCTTTTACATAACGTTTTTACTACTCGACAACATTATTAAAGTAAAATTTAAGGTAAGTTACATAAATCTACATTACACTTGAGCGCGATGTTCCTCAATACTTTCTTGAAATAACCCCACTCGCATGTACCTTGAGGGCATCCTTTGTAATTAAGAGGTCTCTCGTTCGAGTACAATTTCACCTTGAAACCGTCGCTGCATCTGAAAATAATTGTCGGGACGTGAGATCGTTGTGGGATGAAATAATATCAAAATTATTACTTGTAAAAGACGGCCGCTACGTTCCCGTTGTACGGTATCAGATAGCTTAGATCGTATTTTCTGTTTCTCAAGTCGTGAAGGGTGAAATTAAGCGGCATAGGCGCGTCACCGTCCAGGTGTCCCAATAAGCTGTAGAAGAACATCAACGAGTGGAAATCGCCGAAGTAAAATATACCTTTCGGCTCTTCGTGCACGTTCCCCTTTTCCAAATTCCTGAAAATTCATCATATTAATCCGTGCAATTAATTCTCCGCGATTATCATCTTTCCAAGCATATACTCTACGAGATATCTGGTAGATAATGAATTAGATGGATCCGTGAAATTATTTAATCGATATTAAATAGAAATTAAAAATTAAGTTTGGACTTTAACTCAAAATTTTCGATATTTTCCCCAAGACGTTAAAAATAATCTAAATCTTTGTAAAAATTTTTAGAATTTTAGTTACAGGCTAAGAAAAAGAAATTCGAGTACCTGATTTTAAACGATGCTACTTACGTAAAGTGAATGTACAAGTCCTTCAGAATTGGACACGCAGCTTGGGTGTGTTTTTGAAAGTATGGGGGTGAACGATACAGATATCGATCGATGTATATGGCGAAGAATTTCAGCTCTTCCTTCGTAAACATGGCACACCATGGAGACTTTACGTCCGGATACCAAGATGTCTCACGCATGCAAACGTAATTCGCATCGAGGAGTTGGTCTGGGTCGATCAACGATTCAGATTAAATTTAATAATAAGTTTAATAAATAAAGGATAATAATAAAAACAAGAGGATTTATACCGAAAGCGTAAATGAAATGGGCAGGATCGCTCGACAAGTCGTATCTTTGACGAATGCCGTTGATCATTTTGCGAAATTCGTCGTTGAATATGAAGAGATCCCTCGTGTTGTAATAGTCGAAAAATTCTCTTTGGGTAAGATGGTACTGGAAATTGTATACTTATATATATATATACATATACGGTGATCGAACATTATTTCTCAACTTACGATACGATTTAATTATATATTAGAATAGAAACCTGCAATATTTTATCGTGGGATGTGTTCCTTATATCCACGTTGTCCAAGTTTATGTTACCGAAAAGACCTTTGATTAAGGATCTCATGCTGGCTATCGATCGTTGAGCGTTCATTGCCCTGAACTGAAGCGTCAGAAATCAATGTGAATATTGTTAGATAGAAAAATTTGGTTGGATGTTAATCACGTTTTTTTTTTTTTTTTTTTTTTTTTTTCAAGGATTTACATAGTATTGCTTCTTCAACGTATTGACAGGGCGGCATTGGATCAGTTCCGGGAAATAGGTCTTCAATCGTTGGCCAAGCCTCATCATTCCCAGTTCACCCTCCTTCGATAATATCCATACCTTCGTTTTATCGATGTACTCGTAATTATTCCAATGCTTGATCCTTTCGTAATCTTTTTGACACATTCGTCCCGCTGTTTAACGGAAACGTTTAACGGATTACGTCGAAACACATCGTATAAACGTTATATTATATATATATATATATTTATATACACAATATTCGAACCTTTGCTATGCGCGAGGTCACGTTTAATAATTTCCATATTATTATCATCTTTCAGCCTCATGCTCCAATATTTAGGCGGTGATATACTTCCATGTTTCAACAACATCCAAATCTGCAATGGCTCGCAGTCTAGGCGAGAGAATGGAATGAAAAAAAAAAAAAAAAAAAAAAAAAAAGAAAAAAAGAAAAAAATGGGAATAATAAGAAAACGATGAATTTATCCGTGAATAATAATTTTGTTATACCTACTTGGTATCATGGAATCGGTTATCGTGCCGCGAACATTCTTATATGCTGTTCTGATACCGAACAACAAGTAAGGATTTGGATCGTCAGCGTAGCAATATTCACCCACGATTAAATGACCTTCCAAGCACAAAATTGCGATTAACGTCGCAATTAATATGATTTTATCGCTCTGCATATTTTCGAGATAATCCCTGGAAGAAATGACAAAGTAAATTGTGTATTAAATTCGATTAATTCGAACGATATAGATATTATTATCGTGGATTGAGAAAGATATATATTTATTAAAATTCGATTATTATTGTTAAGAAGAGGATGAATTTAGAATTAACAGAGAATAGAATTTAGAATATATATATATATATATATATATATATATATATGTGCATCTTTTGTGGTACGTACAATTTATCAACGTTTCAACGATTGTCCGAACACTGCTGTACACCTTCTGTGATTGAGCGATTCAACGCGTACGTTCCCTTCTTTTATAGGAACGAGTTTATTAGTAGCCTTACCTCTTATTGCTTTGCACGATTTATCGAATTATTTTGGAGCACGCGTTAAAATTGATAATTACGTGGAAGCGAGGAGAAAGGAAATAAGAATAATAATAATTTAGAATAATTTACAACATACTAAGAATGATTTTGTTGTATGTCTCAATTGCCACTGTTTAGAATACTTTGTTATATTTAGAACGTATCGTAAGTGGCCAAGATAAGCTGCACGTGACATGATACCTTTGTGTACAATCTCTAAAGCTGTAACAGTAAAAAATTCAATTAAAATGTCTGATTTCATTACCTACAATAATGCGATGGAAAACAATACGATTAAAACGCCCAATAAAATTGTGAAAGAATGAATGATTGAGCGAATGAATTAATAGAAATCACAATTTTATATCTGGGAATGAATGGTAATTAAAATATTTAATCATTTCTTCTTCTTCTTCTTCTTCTTCTTCTTCTTCTTTTTCTTTTTCGTTTATCACGTCGAACATCGGTTATTATACAGAAATTTTAAGTTTTCTCTCTCTCTCTAATTCCATATACCATTATAATTCTGGATTAATTCATATTTCATAATATCCTTAAAGATATATTCTTCTATTTCATTGATCGTTATCGATACTGGAATATTTTTAGAAGATAAAATCAATGCTCAAATTTTCAGTCAAGCATTTTCTTTACTTCTTTTTTACTATTAAAATTTATTGCCATCTTTTGAATATTAATTTTGCAAAATTTTAAATTGTCCACATTTCATTCTTCTTCACTATTCACCGTGTTGAATCTCTAGATAAAACTGTGCCTAAAATAAAAATATCGACAGTATATCAAAATTTTATTAATTTATTAACTTCAGCTCGTAAAAAAATTTTTTTATTGCATTTATTTACCTTCTTTAGAACGATAAATTGAGAATACAAATTGTTTTATTTAACTGATACACTTCTTGTAAAGTGAATTTACAATGAACAATGAATATAAATTGCTCGAAATTGTTTATCTTGCACAAACGAAAAATCTGGCAAAGCCAATTGCAACTTCCACGAAAACGTTTAAATTCGATTTTCATTACTTTATATTCCACTCTCTGAACCACGTTTCAGATAGTAAAATAAAAAAAGGGTTAACAGGGTGTTTTGTTCGATCTCTAATCAAGAAAATTGAGAACTTTCCGAAGATTGGTCTAACACGTTGATTTAAAAAGAGGTTAAAAAATCTTTGATAAAACTTTTTCTAAACGAATGCTATAGATTTCTCAGTGGTGCGAATCGAATCGAAGTAAATTTTATCGACGATCACTTTTTCTTCTTTCTTTCTCTCTCATCGATTTCACCGTGGTTGTCGCGTTTGAAATATTTCACGCAACTTTCTTCGATTCGCGGAAAAATGAAATTTTGATTAAAGATATTTTTTTTTTTTTTTTTTTTGGTAATGTGCGATTTTTACTTTGTGATTTTTCTTTTTCATGAAATTCGATCGTGCAACAGAGCCTTTCATTTTTTCCAAACATATTGTAAAAGTGTTACTTATGCTTAACAACGGGGAAAGATATTAAAAGGTTTACGGTTAGAAGAATTGTCGAAGAATCGATAGAATTCTTCGTAACGTAGAACGTAATTAACAGAAATATATGACTGTTTTAATAGTGTCCCTATTACACCTTTCAATTACTTTATACTGATCATTGATTATTATACCTCGGTAATTATAGATGTTCATTTTTATTATCGGATTTAAACTTTCAATATCGCGTTTACGATGTCGTGAAACGTATATATGAAAAATTGATACATGAGATATCATTTCAAAGAATAGAGAACTGTTTGTCTCCAATAACTAATTGAAAATTGTCATCGAAGAAATTTAAAGACGTAATATTGATAAATATTTTGAAATAAGAAATTGAATAATAATAATAATAATAATATATATATGCTTACTGTAAGAATAATGTTAATTAATTCAACTTTTATTAATTATGTATTTTGATTATATTTTTACAATATAAAGAGGTTAAAATTTTTTTCAAAAATTTAAATACAATTGAAATTTATAAAGCTTGCCTTATATACTGTTTCGTTTTATTTAAAAATTAATCAAATTGGATTAATCGATCGTTTGTGAATCGTGATAATCGAGGGAAAATTTTGTTGAAAATGTAAAAAATTTATTTGCATGAAACGAAAATTAACGAAATTTTATACGCACCGTTTCCTGAATCGCTGATTCAGAAACGAATACCGGAGAAATGTCTGTTTCGCGGCACGAACACAAATTCCAATTATGCGTATATAAATGTCTGCTATTCCATCTATATGATTAACTAAAACGTTCAGTTGAATTCCTCCAGTTGTTTGCGCGTGTAAACACATAATTTTTCAAGTCTGGAAAAGATATTCTCGGTTACAACTTATTATCTAATTATTTTATGTTAAAAATTTGCATTGCTTATAAATTGCAAATAATTACATTCTAAACATAGCGGATTATACCGTGATTCTTTCCCCCTTTTTTTTTTCATTTCCATAAAAAACGATCGATAATAACGCGTCATTTACGTTACACGATATTACATTATTTTCTTAAATTCTTGGCACAAAAATCGTCGCCCCAAGATTTTCTGATAAAGTCTAATAAAGTGACACGATCTATATTTCTATAAACGAACCATTTCTTTTGCGATTTTATTTTAGCGTTAATTTCTCGAAATTAATTCTTTTTCCTTTTTTGTTCAATTAAATTGAAGATTTATTCAACTCGCCGTAAAATATAATCGGAATAGGGAAGCGAGTTTTATTGAATTTGACGAAAGGTATCAATTTGAATAACATTTGACTCGACCACGTATGTTCTACAATCAACCAGCTCTTTTATTAAAATACAAAGGGATTGTTATTTTATTCAAAATATCGTGGCCACCCGTTTTAATGCTCGTAACCAACTGGACATTGTTGTACACCGCATGAAAGTGTAATTTCGAGACACCGGTGAGAATGGAATTATATAAACCGAAAATGATTTGCATTTTGATCATTGAATAAATACGCGGAATCTGAATAATTCCTATATGCATATGTTTCAAGAAAACCAACGCGTTATCAAATCCGGGAAACACTTTAGAGGAATTAAAAAGAAAAAAAAATTGAACATTTTGGATCGAAAAAAATTAATATCTTTCCTCTTATCAATTATGGATAAATTTATACGTAGAAAGAGAAAGAGAAATTATTATAAAAGAATATTCGTTACATTCGATGATTTCTATTATCGCAATTAATAATCTTATCTCTTACATAAAACTAAATTATTTTCTCATTGCAGTTGACCTTCAGTGATCTTGATTAACCTTGAACCATAGACCATTACACGCGTCTTAAAATGCTCGGATAAATGGCAATAGTGATAAAAATGTATGATTCAATTTAAAAAAAAAAAAAACAAAGTTGACCTTCATGCGACCTCTATCAACAAATTATCATTACACTTTTCTTAACGCTGAGAAGAGCCAAATTGATAGTTCAATTCTAGTTCATTTTTTAAATTTTTCCTCTCGACGAATATCAAGAATATTTCTCACCCTATCGAAAAATTTGCAAAAGTTGTTACACACACACACACACACATACACACACACACACATTAATTTTCTACACGGCGCCCTGTTTAAAAAATCGTTGCTGCGTAAACGACATGGTTGTCGAATGGCTCGTTTATTTCCTCGTTTGTAAATTCAATTTCGAGCACGGGCCACGCGAATTCTGCCTGCCCTCCTCCGTAATATGCGCGCATTGTGCGGCTGCGATTCACGGGTAGAAAATTTAGGATCCGCTTCAAAATTTTTTCCCTCCCAGGTATCGTTGTGCAAACGGCCGCCCGTTGTGCCGCCGCGGCGTGTAAACCCCCTCGACGCTAATTTAATTTAATTAAAAAAACCTCACCCCTCCCCCCCCCCGAGCACGCGGCACGTAACGAAAAATCGCGCTTCAACGATCTGGAGTTTCAAGAATTCANAAAAAAAAAAAAAAAAAAAAAAAGAAAAATGTTGCGAATAATTATGTGAACTGTGAATTATAATTTTGGAAAATTGGTATTGTATTCTTTAAATTTTAAACGATTAACATTGTTAAAAATTTATTGTTCGAATGTGAAATGGTTTAGAATTAGATTATATCGAGTATATATTAATATATGTATATTACAAATGGAATAATCACAAGGATAATTTTTGAGAATTTTGTTAAGCAACAGTTGAAAAGGGAGGAGAGAGAATTATTATATTGAATTTCTAAGGATAGGAATGATTACGAATGTTTGACAGTTCGAATTTTTGACGATCGTGGCCCGCTTCGAATTTAGTTTGAAAGATTCGATTGATTCATTTCGCGCGCATCTCGTTACGAACTGTAATTGGCAATTAAGAACGGTTAACAAATGTTCTACGGTTTTTCTCATTGTCGAAAATATAGCATATATCGTTGTGGGTTGACCTCGTTTCTAAAAAAAATAATATATCTTTATATCTTTATATAGATTTAGTAAACGAGTTTCGACAAATGTAGGCGAAAATAATTGGTAAAATATATTAGAAAATGTTGAAATAATATGCGGCAAATATTTGCGACGAGAAACTTGAATTTTTAATAATAATATAATGGATAGA